TTTTTAAAAATATTATTATTATTATTATGTAGATACTTCTTTTTGTAGTAATCTCTCAATATTTAGTCATCACATTGGATTTTTACTAATCTAAAATTGAATCAGATCAGATTTTATAAGAAAAAAACTCTCTCAATACTTGTTTCTTTATTTATAAAACTCGAACTTGAGATTTTACTTAAGAGAAATTGAGTTACTTCTACTCGAACCAAAAGGTTATTGATATTATTTTATAGATATTAAGTATAATAAGTACATGTAAAATTTTAATTATATAAAAATAAGTAATAGGTTAGTTAAATAAAGCAATTAAATAAGTCAAACAAAAAACTTTAAATTCCTATATTCATCAATTAATTTAATACTTATAGAAATATTATATTTGTACTCATTATTTATTTAATTTTTTCTACTATACAATTTTAATACTTATCTATATAGATAAAATATTTATAAATAAGTATATCCATGTCCAACGCTAACCCCTAGTATGTAGGCATTGTGTACACTTCTCTATAGTCGGCTTTAAACAACTTCCCAGAGCGCTCAAGCGCCTCCATCCTTGACCAAAATTAAAAGCTCGGGAAATGGAGTGGAGCCACATTGCTTCAAGCTTTAATTAAAGTTTTTTTCTTTTTTGATTGTTCAAATAAATCTAGAATAATTACTTTTGGTACTTAATTAATCACAATTCTTATGTGTTTGGAACTTGTTTCATCATTATATTATTTGAAGTCACTAGTATACTTAGTAGAGTGATTTTAGCACATCAAGTTTTTGGCATTGTTGTCAAGGATTGTTAAATTTAATTAATATTGAAATTAATATTGAAATTGATTAATTCTAAATTTAATTTAAATGTTTTCTTTTCTTTTATTTCTTTACTTCAATTTTTTTTTTCATTTCCTTTATTTTTGTTTTTGTAGGTCTAATTATGAATTGAGTTGTCATAGAAACTAATATGAATTATCAATATTTTGCTCCAGAGTTAAAGGCACAGATTGAAACAATAACTATCAATTAGGAAGCAAAACTTGATGATGATGAACTTGAATGATTTCTAGTTATTGAAAAGTTCAAATTAAAGAGAGCTATAATAAAAAAAATTTAATATCACTTGTTGATGGTGTGAATTAAAAAATTTTAGTTTTGATTGTTATTTTATTCCATCTAACAAACATGCTAATTTTTCTTGTGATGTTTATAGCCAATAGTATAATTATTATCCCAACACATGCAACTTTGAGTGGATAAATTATCCAAACTCCTCATCAAATAATGAAGATATATTAGAGCCACAATAAATAGCTCAAAAAGAGGAGACATGTTTGGATAGAAATTTGGAGGTCGAATCAAGTCATTCGCTTAACTTTACCCTTGGAGATTGAAGGAAAACCTAGAGAAGTAGAAAGTATACCTATAGAAACAAAACAAGAAGACGTCTCTAAGGAAGAAGAGGAGAAAGCTCAAGTATCATTTGCAATGTTCAATGGAGAGTCTCCATTAATCAAATTTGATTTTAATAATTATTTTGTTATTCATATGGTTGATGAGATCTTGTAGAAAAACACTTTTAAGAATCCATTTGAGATTTATCTTAGTCAAGTAAAGGACCCAATCAACGAATATATAAATTGCTTAAACATATCCTCATCTTACTTGGAATCAAAGGGGGCAATCCTAGAAGCATGGGGAAGGCACATCTCTTTGCCTAAACCCAAACCACCACGGAATAGTCATTGGAAAAGATCTTATGGTGGATTCAACCTAAGGGCAAGGAAGTAAATATTCAAGAAAACGAGAGGACACACCCTACAACCTAATCCAAAACCAACTTGAAGTGGTAGAAAGTCTAGCTAATGATTCTAAATTAAGCGCTTCTTAGGAGGCAACACAAGCATAAGATTTTATTTTATTTTTTTGCATTTACTTTGATAGTGTAGATTTCATTCATTTGTTTTTCTACATAGCTTAGGTTAATGCATAGGTATGGAGGAAATTCAAATTTCACTAGAATTAAAGGCACTTCAACTCAAGTTTTAACTTTAATTTTTCAATTGCATATCTTGGTCATTAAACAAGTTTGGGGGACAAGATTATGGAAATTCACATGCTAGAAGTCGCCTCTAATTGAAGACAACTCAACGTTAGAACTCAAATTTCAAATTTTCCAGTGTAAAACTTGGAAAGTTTCTCTTTTCTTTTACTTTATATTGAGGATAATGTTTGATTTAAATTTGGGAGAGAAAATAACTTTTAGGTGTCCATTCTTACATTAGTTTTTGTTCATATTTGCATGACATACATTTTTTTTTAGAAATTAAGGGTTTTTTTTTTTTTTAAGAATTGGTCTAATTAGTGTTAAGGAATTGAATATTCTTGAGTTGGAAATTGGAAAACTTTAAAAATCTTTGAATATTAGAGGAGATACAAAGTCTAAAAAATAACTCCATTTTGATTAAGTTTAAATTCATGAGTGTTTTATTTCACTTGAACACAAGTTTGTGGTGAGAAATTTAGACAAAAGACTGAGTAGCATCTAAAAAGCACAAAAAAAAGAAAAAAAGAAACATATAAAAGAATGTTCAATAAATCATGAAGTAATTCATGGTGGTGCCTAGTTCAATCGTCATCATTCACATGAAAAGTGACAAATTGAGCATCTCTTGAAAAAAAAAAAGAGAGAATGTTTTGCGACCTTTGTTACTTGAGTATGTTATTAAGGGTCTCTCTTTGCCTAATGCCCTAAAGCTAGCTAGTTTGGGAGCCATTGATAGAAAGCTTGTTACATGGGTAACTTAGAAAGCATAAGGGAACTCGACACACACAAAAAAAAAAAAAAAAAAAAAAAAAAAAAAAGAAAAAAAAGAAGTGCTAAAGTGTGAAGGTTTAAACTTGAAACTTTTTACTAGAAATTTTCACACACATTCTAACTACTCATGAGCTAAATCTTTTGATAAGTGGTGTGAAGAATATGATGTAGTATTTGACTTTAAGTGAGTGTATGAAAGCTCTTGAATATTTGAGACTTTATATCTAATTCAATTTTAATTCCTAAATTTTCTTTGCATACATATCGTGTAATTGCATTATTGTATTGGGATTTTATAGGTAGATTCACTAAAACCTCTCAAGAGACACAACTCGTCCACTAGGGTGACCTAGGGGTTTGAAGAGTTGTTGTGTATGCTAAGTGCAATTGTGATTGTTATGAAAGTGAGTTAAGTTTTATTGCGTATACCAAGTGCAATTGGGATTCTTATGAAAGTGAGTAAAGTTTTATTTTTTTTAAAAAAATTTATTTTACTTAAGGACAAGTAAAACTTAAGTTCGGGGGGGAGTTTGATCAGTTGAATTTATATACATATTAATGTGAAATTTCTGACTTGATATTATTAATATTTGGATGAGTTTTATAAGATTTTTCTTGATTTTATATAATTTTCATCATTTGTGAAAGAAAGGACTTTTTGGAGGAAATCATAATATTTAGCACCAAATTGCAGAGATAAAAAATTTGACAATTAAGTTGCATGGAATTCAGAAGTCATTGAGCCATTAATCAAAATTGCTTTGAAGGCGAAATCACAACATGGACTTTTCTTTGCAAATACAATGAAGGTGTCAGTGCCTTCTTTATGGTGTCGACCGCTTGGGCATTTTCAACAAGTAACACCTAGTCTTAAATATTTTTGTGTGCGTCTCACATATGTTTCAATTAGGTTTTTCAAAATTCTATAAATAGTCATTCAATATTAGAATGGAGGCGAGCTTTGAAGGTTAGTGGTAGCTTTGTTTTGGGTACTCTTGGAGATCAAAATAAAGAATTCATCAATAATAAAAGATCAAGGATTTCAATTTCCTTAAATTGAGTTTTGCTTTTTCTTAAATTATTTTTATCTATTATTTGATATTCTTATATTTATAACTATGATTTCAAGTTTTATTATTTTTATGCTTTTGATATTGTTATTTCATGATGAGTATATATTATTGTCCTAATGCTTTTTAATACTTTATCACCATTAAAATTGATATGGAGAGCATAATTTAAACTAAAAGGAGATTTTATACAATAACTTCTAATAATATGTACCATGAATTGAATGAAAAGCAAAGATGGATCAACATGATTTGTGTATCATTGGTGATAAGTGGACTTAATTTTCTACGTACACTAGGGAATGTAAGTCCAAGGAAGAAACCTTAAGATACCAAATTATTGGTGATTCAAGTTTGATTCTTGGTTAGATTCAAGTTACCTTTGTTGTTTGAGAAGAACACCTTACGCTATATCACTCTCTTAGCCAAAACTTGGAACAGTCCTTCGCCAACCTTAGATATGAGTAAGTGCCATGGTCAGAGAATAGGTTGGTTGATGCTTTAGCCGCAATCACTTCAAGGGTGCCTATGATCAAGAATCCTCTCAATGTCCAAGTAATCCAAAAAGTGCGACCCATCTATCATGGTAGCGAATCTATCTTACTCAAGCTACCTAACTGTGCTGACCGGTGGTATGAGATTTATAATGCTTTATTGCAACAAAAACTTGATGCGCCTCTAAAGGATCTATCTAGCTATGTTATTATTTCTCATGAGTTGTATTATCACCTCCCTAACGATATTATGGCTAAGTGCATTAGCGATAGAGAGACTTATCACATACTTAGAGAAATTCATGATTGCACATGCGGCAAGGATAGCTGTGTGAGTATGTATTGCCAGATTCAACGAGCAGGGTACTACTGGCTAGACATGGCATGACAAGCTACTGAATTTCAGCAGCAATGCGTATCTTGTTAGTAAACTTATTATCAAGGCAAGGAATGCTTTGTTGCTGATAGCATTCAAGATTGGTGCCATCCTTACATGGAGTACTTCACTGAAGGAATATGGCCAGAGTCTTCGAAGGATGTGCACAAGTTAAAGAGGTCTTTGTCAAAATATTTCATGGACGATGGAGTTTTGTTTCACACTGCTCGCTAGCGAACCACTTCACTGCCTATCATCGACAAATTCTCAAAAGGTCATGGCTGAGATAAATTCAAAGGAATGCAAAGAACATCAAGGATGAAGAAAGCTGTACGAGTAACTCTTGGCTCATGGCGACTACTTGCCAAGTATGAAACAAGATGCTGCAGATTTCATCTGGTGATGTCACATCTGTCAGGTTCATACTAACCTTATTCATTCTCATCCTAATTTATTGCAAGGTATAAAGACTCCTTGGCCTTTTCATACTTGGGGCTTGGATCTTATTGGCCCAATCCATCCCTCATCCAAGGGTTATATTTGAATATTGGTGGCCATTGAATATTTTACTAAATGGGTGAAAGCTGTACCTTTTCACAAGGCTACGAGTCCAATGGTATCGAATTTCATCAAGGAGCACATTATCTACCGCTTTGGAATACCATACAAAATTATGAGTGATAATGAAACTCCTTTTGTTAATCAGCATGTGCGAAGATTGTTGGACACTTATAATATCAAGCATTTCAAAATCCACTCCATATTATCCCCAAGGCAATGGCCAAGTAGAAGCAAAATAATAAAAGCTTGCTAAGGATTTTGAGTAAGATGGTCCATGAGTATGAAGGAGGTTGGAGCACTCACTTCCAAGACACTCTTTGGCCTCATTGGACGTCATCTAAGACAGCCATGGGCTTTTCACCTTATTTTCTAGTATATGGTTGGGATGTTATCCTTCCTGATTAAGTCCTAGCTCTAATTGCACGTATCTTAGCTGCATCTGAGTTAGATAGCGATGCTTATATCTGTGGCCAAAGGTGAGTTGAAGACAGCATAAGAAAAGGCTAAAAAATATCAATCCAATATGACGAATGCCTCCAACCATGTAGTCAAAGCTAGAGTTTTCACGGTTGCGTAGATAGTTCTTAAAGCCTCCGACCATGTGAGGAAAAACATTGCTAGCCCATCCAAGTTTGTTGCAAATTGGGATGGTCCCTTCATCACTATGAAAGCGCATGATAGCGGATACTATCATCCCAAAACTCACAAGGAAGAGTCATTACTGGACCATATAAATGTAAAGTGCTCAACCGTACTATTTCTAGGCTTCACCAACATTGTTCCTTGATAAGTAAGCATTCTCCATTTTGTAATTTTACCTTTGGCACTACAATTTATTCCAGCCAAGAGGGTTGGCTCTATTTATGTTCTACCATCACATTTAAAGTGCAAATAGCACTCTTTTATTATATTTGACACTTCATGTATTAGCTTGCTTGTATTCCATTCATTTTGTTTTATCATTGTGTAAGGATATGGAGCATTGATTAAAAAAAAAAAAAGAGAGAGAGAAAAGGAAAAGAAAAGAAGAAAGTGCAACAAGCAAAATGATTATAAAATAAGGCAACCTCCCTGATCCCTTTTTCATCATGTGTAAATAGCATAAACATATTTGTCCAAGTGCCATACTTGGCACAATAGAAAGCCACAAGTAAGCAACCAAACAAGGAACATAGTCCAAACTTTGCTAGATATAAAGATGTTCAACCTAAGACAAACACAATAAGAGGGTTACATCATGGTAATGTTGCCAATAGTCAACACACTATGAAGGAAGCAAAATAAAAGACGAAGAGAAGGCTAGGATATATGGCTGCTGATTGCCGGAAAGGACTCAGCTTGTCTCTAAAAGTCTTGGCAGTCTTGATGCAAGTCTGGCAAAGTTCAATCATATTGTTGGAACTCAGGCACTCATTTTCTTGGTTAAGTGATTGCAGGTATGCCTTGATTGACATCAATCTTTCTTCCAACTTAAGAATGAGTTCCTTCATCTTAGCCAAGGACTTTTCCATCTCTTTGACATGCTTCATCTGCTCAATCCACTTGTCCAAGTCTCCAACCGTGTCACATCCAGCCATGCTGAACTCAACCTTGCCAAGGTATGCCTTCTCCAGATTTAATAGATATGCTTGAATAGGGCCAACTTTGAAGTTTATGCTCTCAACATCATCAATGGCATCCCTACACAAATAAAAGAAGTCTTCATTCATTTTGGCGAAAGGGGTTACCTCTATATATCCCATGGCCTTGCAAAGGTTCGAGAAAGTATCTTCAATTATCACTTTTTTGCCCTTATTGTGTGTTGTTAGATTTGGAAAGATATCCAATAGGTGGTGTGCCCTCATCTCCAACATCGCGGGCAATGCAAACTTGCCCATCGTTCATGGATTGCTAGTGGGCACCATGCCAAATCGAGCCAACGATACATCTCTATCCATCTCATTTAAGTTATTGAGTAGCCTCAAAGCTGAGTCATCAGCCTTACTTGACTCAGCTAGAGCCGAAGATGGTTGGCCACTATGCCCAGCTCCATTGGGACTAGCAACCTTCTTTGCTGCACTTATGGCTGTCTTGTCAACATCCATTTTGCTTTTGTTGGAAATAGACCTTTTCACAACATCACCTACCTCCAACTTAGACTCATTGGGTGCAACCCTATTTGTGTCTATGCTACCACGGAAGCCTTCATCCTTGCCTTTTTTAGTACCTAGCAAAGCAAGCAAAAAGTGTTTGATCAACAAAGAATTATGCCACTCAACCAAGCGAGGTACTAAAATATAAAAACACATGAATCTAAGAAAAAATAACATGAATTACACCAATAATAATATAAATCATATGGTAGATTATGAGATTGAGACGTACTTAGTGTTACACATGGTAGTGGAGAAAGAGAAGAGAATTAGCAGCTCCCCCTTCTTAAACTAAAGGTTTTCACATCACTTAATGCTCACCCGTTTGTTTTAAATTAAATACAAATATGACTAGTTTAATAAATAAGGGAAAGATTAACTTGACTTGAAAAAGCTAATTAATTAATTTAGGAAAATTAACCATCACATGCAATAACATTCAATTAATTGGTTTTGAAAGCATATTAATCTAAAATTTATATTTATTGATTATGATGAAATCAACTGCCTTTGTACCCCATATCGTGGTTACTGTTATTTTGATTGTTATTTTCTTTTTGTTATTTTTAATTATAAATTCTTCCCCTTTTGTTTGATTAAAAGTTTTGGGGATCTTTTGAAGAAAATGTAACTAATTAGATATTTCTTCATTTAACTAAGTTTAAGTTGGACATCAACCACTAAACCATTCAATCTTAGACATATATCAATGTTTGCACCAACAAGTAACATGATTATAATCAAAGAATACACATCAAAATCATTCACTTGCATAAATTTTAACAACTAATCACATCAACTTCAAGAACAATATCAAGCACTAGGATCTAAGATGCCAAGTTCATTTCTAAGAAAGAAAAATCTATCATGATCAAGAGGTTTTGTAAATATATTAGTTAATTGATTTCTAGTATCAACAAATAATAAATCAACATGATCATTAGCAACATAATCCCTAATAAAATAATGCCTAATTTCTATGTGCTTTGTGCGAGAATGTTGGATGGGATTTTTAGTGAGATTAATAGCACTAGTATTGTCACAATTAATGGGAATATGATCCATGGTAATGCCAAAATAAAAAAAAAAAAAGTTGTTGTTTCATCTACAATAATTGAGCACAACAACTTGCAGCAGCTGTGTATTCCACCTTGATTGTGGATAGAGCAACACAATTTTGCTTTTCGGAAGACCATGATATAAGCATATTACCAAAAAATTGACAAGTTCCACTTGTACTTTTTCTATCAATCCTACAATCCCCATAGTCCACATCCGAAAATGAATGTAAGTCCAAGAAAGAACCTTTAAGATACCAAATTATTAGTGATTCAGGTTTGATTCTTGGCCAGATTCAAGGTACCTTCGCTATTCGAGAAGAACACCTTGTGCCATATTGCTCTCTCAACCAAAACTTAGAATAGTCCTTTGCTAGTCTTAGATATAAGTAGGTGCCATGGTCAAAGAATAGGTTGGCTGATGCCTTAGCCACAATCGCTTCAAGGGTGCCTATGACCAAGAATCCTCACAATATCCAAGTCATCCAAAAAGAGTGACCCATCTATCACGGCTGTGAATCTCTTACTCGAGCTACTTGATAGTGTTGACTAGCGATATGAGATTCATAACACTTTGTTGCAGTAAAAACTTGATGTGCCTTTAAAGGATTTGTCCAGTTATGTTATTATTTCTCGTGAGTTGTATTATCACCTCCCTAACGGTATTATGGCTAGGTGCATTAGTGATAAAGAGGCTTATCACATGCTTAGAGAAATTCATGATCTCATATGTGGCTAGGATAGTCATGTGAGCCTGTACTACCAAATTCAATAAGCAGGGTACTACTGGCTAGACATGGCACAACAAGCTACTAAATTTTAGCAGTAATGTGTATCTTGTCATCAAACTTATTATCAAGGTGAGGAATGATTCACTACTAACAGTGTTCAAGATTGGTGCCATCTTTACATGGAGTACTTCGTTGAAAGAATATGGCTAGAATCTCTAAAGTATGTGCACAACTTAAAGAGGTCCTTGTCAAAATTTTTCATGGACAGTGGAGTTTTGTTTCGCACTAGCTTCATTGGTGACCCACTTCCTTGCCTATCATTGATAGTTTCTCAAAAGGTTATGGTTAAGATACATGCAAGGGAATGCGGTGAACATCAAGGATGGAGAAAGTTGTACGAGCAACTCTTGCCTCATGGTTACTATTGGCCAAGTATGAGTCAAGATGCTAGAGATTTCGTTCAGTGATGTTACATTTGTCAGGTTCGAGCTAACCTTATTCATTCCTATCCTAATTGATTGTAAGATATGAAGACTCCTCGGCCTTTTCATACTTAGGACTTGGATCTTATTGGCCCTATCCATCCCCTATCTGAGGGTTACATTTGGATATTGGTGGCCATCGAATATTTTACTAAATGGGTGGAAGTTGTCCCTTTTCGCAAGGCTATGGGTCCAATGGTATCGAATTTCCTCAAGGAGCACATTATCTACCGCTTTGGAATTACATAAAAAATTATGAGTGATAACAAATCTCCTTTTGTTAATTGACATGTGCAAAGATTGTTGAACACTTATAAGATCAAGCATCAAAAATCCACTCCATATTATCCCCAAGGCAATAGCCAAGCATAAGCAAACTAATAGAAGCTTGCTAAAGATTTTGAGTAAGATGGTCCATGAGTATAAAGGAGGTTGGAGCACTCACTTGCAAGACACTCTTTGGGCTCATTGGACATCATCCAAGACTACCATAAGTTTTTCACCTTATTTTCTAGTATATGGCTATGATGTTGTCCTTCCTAACAAAGTCCTAGTTCCAACTACACGTATCTTGGCTACATCTGATTTAGATAATGATGTTGATATCTATGGCCAAAGGCGAGTTGAAGACTTAGAGTCTATCGAAGCACTTCACTAGACAACACAAGAAAAGGCTCAAAAATATCAATCGAAGATGACAAATGCCTACAACCGTGTAGTCAAAGCTAGAGTTTTCATAATTGGGAAAATAGTTCTTAAAGCTTCTGACCATGTGAGGAAGAATATTGCTGGCTCATCCAAGCTTGCTGCAAATTGGGACGGTCCCCTCATTGTTGCAGAAGCACATGATAGCGAATACTATCATCTCAAAACCCATGAGGGAGAGTCATTATTGGACCCCATGAATTCTAAGTGGCTTAAGTCATATTATTGCTAGGCTTCGCTAACATTGCTCCTTGATAAGTAAGCATTCTCCATTTTGTAATTTTACCTTTGGCAACAATTTATTCTAGCGAAGAGGGTTGACTCTATCTATGTTCTGCCATCATGTGTAAAGTGCAAATAACATTCTCTTATTATATTTGGCACTTTGTGTATTAGCTTGCTTGAATTCCATTCATTTTGTTTTATCGTTGTGTAAGGATAGGGAAAATTAATAAAAAAAAAAAGAAAGAAAGAAAAGAGAAAAGAAGAAGAAGAAGAAGAAAGTGCACCATGCAAAATGATTATAATATAAGACAGCCTCCTTGATCCATTTTTCATCACATGTAAATAGCATAAATACATTTGTCCAAGTGCCATACTTGGGACAATAGAAAGCCACAAGTAAGTAAGCAGACAAGCAACAAAGTCTAGACTTCACTGGATATAAAGATGTTCAACCCAAAACAAATACAATAAGAGGGTTACATCATGGCGATGTCACCTACTCGACACAATAGAAAGCCACAAGTAAGTAAGCAAACAAGCAACAAAGTCCAGACTTAGCTGGATATAAAGATGTTCAACCCAAAACAAACACAATAAGAGGGTTACATCATGGCGATGTCACCCAAGTGCCATACTCGGCACAATAGAAAGCCACAAGTAAGCAAGCAAACAAGCAACAAGTCCAGACTTTGCTGGATATAAAGATGTTCAACCCAAAACAAACACTGTAAGAGAGCTACATCATGGCGATGACACTAACAATCAACACACTATGAAGTAGGCAAAATAAAAGACGAAGAAAAGGCTAGGACATATGGTTGCTCATGGCTGGAAAGGACCAGGCTTGTCTCCGAAAGTTTTGGCAATCTTGATGCAGGTTTGGCAAAGCTCAATCATATCATTGGAACTCAGGTACTCATTTTCTTGGTTAAGCGATTCCAAATATGCCTTGACTGACATTAGTCCTTCTGTCAACTTAAGAATGAGTTCCTTCATCTTAGCCAAGGACTTTTCCATCTCTTCGACATGCTTCCCTTGCTCTTCAATCCCCTCGTCTAAGTTTCCAACCGTGTCGCGTCCAACCATGCCGAGCTCAACCTTGCCAAGGTATGCCTTTGCCAAATTTAACAAATGTGCTCGAATGGGGCTAACTTCAAAGTTTATGCTATCAGCATCATCAATAGCATCCCTGCACAAATAAAAGAAGTCCTCATTCATTTTGGCGAAAGGGGTTACCTCCATATATTGCATGGCTGCGCAAAGGTTCAAGAAAGTATCTTCAATTAGCCCTTTCTTAGCCTTGCTGTGTGTTGTCAGATTTGGAAAGTTTTTCAACAAGTGGCATGCCCACTTCTCCAACATCGCTGGCACTGCAAACTTGCCCACCACTTGTGGATCATTACTGGGCACCATGCCAAATCGAGCCAGTGATACATCTCTATCCTCATTAATGTTATTTAAGTTCTTGAGCAGCCTCATAGCCAAGTTGCTAGTAGCAGCTGTAGCCTTGGCCTCGCCTTTTTCAACACCTAGCAAAGTAAGCAAAAAGCTATTGATCGACAAAGAATTATGCCACTCAACCAAGCAAGCAGAATTTAAGAAAAAATAACAAGAATTACACCAATAATAATATAAATCATATGGTAGATTATGAGATTGAGATGTAATTAGTGTTACATATGGTAGTGGAGAAAGAGAAGAGAATTATGAGCTCCCCCTTCTTAAACTAGAGTTTTTCACATCACTGAATACTCACCTGCTTGTTTTAAATTAAATACAAATATAACTAGTTTAACAAATAAGGGAAATATTAACTTAACTTGAAAAAACTACTTAATTAATTTAGGAAAATTAACCATCACATGCAATAACATTCAATTAATTGGTTTTGAAAGCATATTAATCTAAAATTTATATTTATTGATTATGATGAAATTAAATGCCTTTGTATCTCATATCTTGGTTACTTTTATTTTGATTTTGATTTTCTTTTTGTTATTTTTAATTAGAAATTCTTTCCCTTTTGTTTGTTTAAATAAATTTAAGATTATTTATTTTTTATATTTAGTCAATTACAATCCTCATGAATTCAATACTTTACATATTATTATATTATTTGGAGTAACTAGTGCACTTTCTAAAATGATTTTAACGTATCAAGTATTTGGTGTCGTTGAAACATCTCTATTCTTAATTGTTTATGGTTAGAATTGATGTCCTTAACTGTTAAGGACTTGCTAGGGTTAGTTTGGCTTGTCCGGCTATAAATGATTGGTTACCATTGTATTTGGCCTTCTAGATGGCA